AGAGAGAGAGAGAGAGAGAGAAAGAGAGAGAGAGAGAGAGAAGAGAGAGAGAGAAGAGAGAGAAGAGAGCGAGAGATCGAGAGAGCGAGAGAGTATGTGTGTATGTGTCTTTGTGGGCGTTTGTGTGTGTGTGTGTGCGTGTGTGTGTGTGTGTGTGTGTGTTTGTAAGAGTGCATATTATGATTGTGTGTGTGAGATAGATAGAGATAAACAGGGAGAGATAGAGAGATAGAGATTGAGAGAGAGAGAGAGAGAGAGAGAGAGAGAGAGAGAGAGAGAGAGAGAGAGAGAGAGAGGGGGGGGGTAGTTGAATCAGCTAACTTCTTAATGTTGGGTGATTACTGTCGGGTCATCACTTATTATTGTTACATAGGCCCATATAGTGCATGTTACATAAGCTTTGGCATCAGGAAACGCTAGATTCTAAATATCTATGTTTTGACCAAATTCAAAACACACAAAAAATCTCGCATCAATAACGCGTCTAGACCTTAAATCCCTCCAGGACCAAAACTCTAGGCTCTGTAACAACGAATTGAAAACGTTAAACTTCTTTGCAAGTCCACGAACAAGAACCTTCTATTCCACCTGTAAACATTGACAAAGAGTTAAAAATAGCAGTGAAAACAGAAGTCCCCCCCCGCTCTCCGTCACGTGACAGAACAATTTACAAGGGTGACGTCACAGAGTCCCCGATGGAGTATGGCGGACTGTGTCTTCGTGTGTGAAACAACTTCCTGTGTCACACAATTTTGATGAGACATTCAACGAAAGGTAAGGTCTTCGAAGTTGAACGTTATTGTTGTAAATTGACTGAAGTAGTTTAAAGTTTGCACTCATGTTCGATATATTTCCTAAAACGTAATGCAAGCTGTTGTCCGTGGCAGAGATGAGTCCGCTTTTCAAAAACTTCATGATCTCAAGTTGCATTGATCCTACTGAAGACAAGAGGCAGAGAACATACCAATGCGAAAGTAGCCCACACTTAGATTCTACAACACATGATCTCTAGAATTCGAGCAGATGGAATAGGCCTAGATTCTAAATCTAGATCTAGATCTGGCTAGCTCTACATAATGGAAATCAGCTGCCTTATTATTAGATTCTACTTTTAAAAGCCACTCCTCCCTGACTCCCTAAAAGACTGAAAAAGACCCCCCCCCCCCACCCCCCACACGAACAACGCCGAGACATGATGATGGTGACATGTTCCATCTTTACTCTTTGGATGACTTGGTGGAACTACCCTGGATTATCTAGATATTGTAATTATTTTATGTAGGCAGGCCTCTATGACATTAGTCTTAGATGTAGAATCTAGTTATCTAGATTTCTAGATCTAATCTAGATCTAGATCTAGATCTATATCTAGATCTAGTCTAGAGATCAAGATCTAGACTCAACATATTTCTCTGATTTTAAAAATTAAGGGTTGGGTCAGGGTTAGGGTTAGACCCAGGTCTCTTCTTTTTTTATTGTGTTTGGGTTGTCGCTCATTACGAAAGCCACCATATTTCCTCCCTCGTGTGCTTAGATAGAGTAATTTATCGTCTAGTCTCTATATTGACTATCGTGCCTGATCTCATCTAAAACCTCAAACAGACATTCTGAGTCATGGTTCACCTCTCACTTCCCTCCTCGAGTCTTTCTAAAATGAAGTAGATCTAGATTCTAGATCTAGTGATCCTGCTCTTTCCCCATCATGTTTCTGGTTTCTGCGGTGTACATTAGATAGACTCTGTGTAGAAAAGTAATTACATTACGATAGTTACTGGTTTATTTTTGTAAACCCCAAAGAAAATTGGATACTGTTTGCATGTAGATCTAGATCTAGATCTATATGTGAAATTGAAGTTAAAAGTGGTCTCATACCAGATACCTTGCATTCTAACACAGTCACAGTGATTGATAATTTTTCACTAATTTTGTCAAAATGAAGTTTCTATGACTATGGTAGCCACCACTGCAATACTTTGCATGGAATCTCAACCGTTTAAATCACACCTGATTTATGGTCATCAAGATGGTTAAAAGAAGAAATTTGTGTCACGAGAACACTTCTTCAGTCAGCATTAATTAAAAAACGAGGATAGTTTAGAGACCCACTTTCTTTTAAAAATAAATAAAACTCATTAAAATGTTATAATTACTTTTCTCTACTTTTGAAAATTTCCAAGACTTAATTTAAGCTTTTGCTTTTTTTCAAAGTGGTGTTTCTTTTGCATGATTGAAATTTTTGTGTATACACACAAAACAAAGGGAATTGAAGGTTTAGTTCCTATATAAAAATTCAAAGCTACGAGGATTTCACTTTCAGGAACTGGGTGTTGAATCAGTCTGTGTTACGTTTGATTGAACTGTTGTAACATTTATGACAGTGAGACGCAGGATTTATTGTTTTTCTTTTTTATAATATAAGTACAGGACCTAGTCTATGTGATTGAACCTAATTTGTTCTCTAGTATCACTTCAGTATGATTTAGAATGTTACTGACTTGAATTTTTCTCCAGCTTTCGAAAATATTATAGTTTTCTTTTGGGGAGTTTGCTGAAGTTTTATCCAAGAATAAATTAAAACAAGTGTGGAATTAGAATATAATGTATCGTAAAAATGTTGTCTCTCTCTTTGCTGATAAATTGCCATGTCGTCTCTGTTATCTGGTAATGAACGTTTAGATGAACAGATTGTGGGAGGGTGCCTTAATGTCCTATTATGTTTCTATTTTTGTTTTAAATCTGTCTGTCATTTTTGCTTTTATTCAGTTTTGAATGTAAACTTTTATTGTATGAGAATGCTAGGTTTCCTTTGCTATAATAACTCCAGAGAATTTTTTTGCAAGCTTTGAAGTAGCCATTTCTTGTTTTGCCACTAAGGTACAGTCTAAATTGTCTAAGAAGGCTACCCAACCTTTTTTTTTTAGAGGAAAGTGGTTGTGTTGTTAGTCAGGTGGATGTCTTGGGACAGTGTCATTATAATACGCAATTGTGGATATGGGAAGTAGTCGTTTTTACACGTGATTGTCTTCATGTAGCTGTTGTGGCAATTTTTTAAAGTTTTTTTTTTTGGTAAGTGATTTACGGCGCTCGCTGCTGCATAAGGTCATATGAGCGCGCGGGACATTTTAAACTTTTTCAGTTGGTAGGAAATTTTGAATTTTGCCCGGGTGGTGGCCGAAGCCTACTCTGATAGATTTTAGACCACCAAGGGATCTTTAACGTGCGCAACTTGCATTTGGGCCCTCCGGCAAGTTTGAGTATCGATAAGTATAATATTAAATAATGTTGATAATATTTAAATATAAAAATTATAATGATGATAGAGTAATAAGAAAATTATCTTTTTCAATTCAAAAGCAGTAAAAAGTTTCATGAAGTTATATTTTCCCTTTTATTATTTTATTATGCTTTGTATTGAAGGTATATTGCTACGTGAAGTTAATTTTGCTGTAAGCAATTTAAGTGTTTTGGGATTTGTTACTCTAAGGTCTAAGGTATCGAATAAAAGGGGGGTGGGGGGTCGACAAGTGGTCCAAAATGAGAATGAGGAGGAGATGGAGAAGAA